ATAATTAGGATAACGGTTAAACACTCCAATGTTGGCACAAACCACGAACACACGCTTAAACAAGCTGTACACAGATTTACAACTAGACGATACCGTAACACTCAGAAGTCTTGTTTTCTTGCCTCCACTTAGCTTACTGACAAGCAGACCTATTTCTGTATCCCCCCTTATAAGCAGTAGGCTCATTAATAAGGCGAATTTTACACCCATGATGAGAAGGTTACCCATTCTTTTTAAAAATAAGATTGAATGTATGCATGAAGGCATGCATGCTTGTAGGTAAGTATTAATGCATGCCTACAATTAGACAAACCATTTTACCAACCCGTAGTGAAGCATTTAAAAGTTTCACCCTTTTTTTTGTCCCCTAATTCTACCTGCACACAGCGAGGTTTCCTCTCCGGGGAAAGAATAAAATAAGAACAGACCGATCGACAAACATGCGCATGAGTAATGTGCGCTTGATTATTGTATGTCCCTACCAATTAGAATATTTCCTGCTATTCACCTGCGCCATGTTCCTTGTCCGTCTCATTCGTTGCAACTTTATTGGGGATCGTGATATGTATTTAACAAATAAAAGAAAAAAAAATTGTTCTATTTTGTACGTAACATTTTTGTAAACGGAAAAAAAAAGGTCCAGCAAGGAAACAGCACGTAATATACCTATTGTGCAGTCTTACACTCATGCTGTGTATTAAAATAGGGGTGCACTGGGAGAAATGAAAAGAAACAATCATATAATGGGACACGAAGGGGGCAGTCAAAACGATGACACCGCTTCCTCCCTAATTAAACGCGCAGTGTTGGCATGTTCAAACGCACTCCAGGCGCGCGAGCATGTACACAGAGTTAACTTTCCTTTGCTCACAGAAATGTGCATGCGTTTGGTAAGACTCGATGACAGATGAAATTCACCAAAGCAACAAAAAAAAAAAAAAGAGAGACAGAAAGAGACGACGAAAAAGAAAAGAATGCAATATGATGTGGTGCAACACATTGCCAAGTAGGATAAATAGACACGCAGATCAAAATGGAAACTACCTTAGGAAGAAATTACGTGAAAAAACCAACCATAAATGCGTGCACATGTGCAAGAAAGACATGCACAGATATATACACAAGAATGTAAAATAGGTTACCCCCAATGTGAGTCGTCCGTATTGCCCTTTTACTACATGTTAGATAAGTTAAAAATGGTGCTATTCCCTTTAGTAACTGTGATTTGACAGGGAGGTTTTCTCCTCCATCGGTTTGTACTCATCAGCGCTGTTGCGTTCCATCGTGCCACACAATAATGTACGTACGCATGTATCTATGTACATATCTACGTATTCACACATGTCTGTTGAGTTTCTTCTCACCAACCTCTTCCCCCCTTTGAGTTGGTCACTTGTCCGGGTAATACAACGGATAATTGGAAGACAAATTGTCAAAATACTCTCCAGGCAATTTGTACGAAATTTTGGCACCCTCATAAGATCTGGACAAACCAACTATGGGCATATATTTGTAACAGACTTGTAAATTAATCTTATTATTTCTTAATCCATTATTATAATCTTTAAGGGAATATTTGGTGAGCAAATTTTTGTAGGTTTTTTTGGCCATTTTTTTATCGGTTATTATATAATCCTGTATGATAACCTCGTTTCTTAGCTTTTGTGGCGTTTCATACGTCACTAGAACATACAGAAACAGCTGCTTCAAGTTCCAATTAAATGCTTTGCTCATGTCATATGATACGTCTAGCGACAAAACTGCTTCGTCCCCTTTTATGTGCCGGTTATACACCAGCCTCTTCACACTTTTTACTTTTATATTCGTCGACATTTCATTCTCGTCGAATAAATAAAAGGAAGTTCCATAGTTGAAAAGACATAGAGTCAAAAAGCACAAGGCCATGGAATAAGAAATGACGTTTAGCCTATTCAACACGCTGTCCATCGTTTCTGCTTCTTATAAGGTATGCGGAGGGGGAAGTAAAGGGACGGAGGGATGGCTACTTCTTTTCTTCTGCTTCTCCTGTGTGTCCTCGTTGAGCATTATGGACCTTGCGCCTTGCACAGGCATGTGTCTTCCCTTTTGTGCTTACCTACAGTGTGTGGTATACGATTATATCACCACTCCTCGGTTCAGTTTCCTTCACGGGTTGTATTTCCGATCTGGTAAACTTCTTCACAAGTAGTGCGATCACAATAGCGAGATTAGCCTTGTAAATAAAGAGCTTTCACAAAGGCTTGTACACATTGATATATTCTACACGGGGGGTGCTTACTCCAAAGGAGAAATGGGTGATGGGAATGCATAATAGTAATAAAAAAAAATAAAAAAAAGAGAAAAAATCAGTCAACAATGGGAAGTCACAGAAATGTGAACCAATTTTTTTTCATAATGCTAAACAGAAAAGCAACTCATTTGTTTTAACTTCGATTCTGGTATGACTCCTCGCGGGAAGCCAATAGTTATTTTAAAAGGCCACTGTGCGGTAAGCGCATAGAATTGCATATGCATATAAGTTTAGGTTTACCTCTTCATTTAAGCAGCTGTACATATGGGTACCATTTTGCGTACGTACAAAAAGGAGGGGCAATCCAGAGAGGCCAAATGCAAGAGAATGACTTTACTGGCAGTATACTGTAAGCCATATGTGCGCACTTGCCAATCGTCACCTCATAGGTAGCACATATAATAGCTATCAACTTGTGTAGCAAAATAAATGAGCATAGCTTCGTATGTAAAAAAGATGGGTCAGAGGCAGTGGGGGTGAACTGACGAGCTACTGCTCCATCGATGAAAACGCGTTTGCGAAGAATCCCCGGATGCGGCAAATGGCACGCCACGCATTGGCGCTATGCTTTGCCGCCTCTCATTGGCGCCGCACAGTGTCGATTTTCTTCCCCGCCATCCACTGCTGCCGTACATTTCCGCCTCTTCTTTTTTTTCCCTCGTGATTGCCCAAATTTACCGGAAGGCAGAATGCAGAGGTTACGCGCCTCTTCTTCGCTTTCAATTCCCTAACCCTTTAGCAACTTCTCGCCCTGAGAAATTTCTACATACATATGTGCATACGTTAAAGGGATCGCAAACGTATGTACATAAGCGCTTTTAAATTTGGCACATTCCAGGTGATACCTTCAAAGAGGACAAAGAAAGGAGCAGCCTCATGGATACACATAGCCATACATACCATACACGCATATATATTGCGCAGCTGCGGAATGGCATTTCTGAAAAATAAAATAACAAATCGGAAGATCCTTTTTTTGCCCCTCTCATGAGGTACATTTTTCTATACGCCCTTTTTTTTATCTTCGTATTAGCTCTCCCTGGAAAGCTTGCAAACGTCCGATATCTGCCAACACTTCCTAAACTGCGAACACTTCCTTACCCCCCGAGCCGCATTCAGAACAACTGCATTTCTTAAAGGAAGGAACGCGCCACGTTTTGAGAAAATACAAATGACAGGGGCAGCACAAAAGTGTAAATAAACCAGGGGTCAATTTTTTTCCTTTTTAATTCTCCCCCCCCCTAATTGTGGAGCATTAAAATATTCACACAGTTATGCACACATTTTTTTTCTACCTGGACAGAAAAAATTGCCTCTCAAGTATTGACACCCCCTTGAGCAATTTCCCCATTCGCTTCTCCTCTCTGCATCCAAATGGCGAATATTAAAGATGCGAAGTATGACCTGGGGTTAGACATGACTATAGAGGACCAGAAAAAAATAGGAAAGTTTACCAATCTACATTTCAAACAATCGGTTTACGAACAAAAGATAAAATTAATGAATGAAAATATTTCTAATATTGACGCCTCAATAGACGAAGTTTCTTTGGTTTTTAATCCGCAAGACGTTATGTTGGGCATAGGTACGTGGCCCCCGCCAAGGGCACTGCATACCTATGTGTGCAAGCATGCGTACGTTGGGGGGATATCGCATTCGCGCACGGATAATAATTCGCGTCGCTGGCTCCACGCCATGCCGCTACTGCCTGGTTCATCATCATGATCAGGAGAAGCAGCTGTAATTTTTCTTTAACGAATTTACCCATTTGTCCCCCTTCACCCTCTGCACGCTTCACTAGGCGACTGCTTTTTCAGCGTCGACACTCAGTACATGGAGAAAAATCTAGAGCAGGTAAAAGCCGAGGAGAAGAAAAATTTGAGGAAGTTGGAATCTGAATATAAAAATATTCTAAGTGAGAAGGAACAATTGAAAACGGAGTTGTATGCAAAATTTGGAAACAGGATTGACCTCAACTGAGAAGTGTGTTTTCTGCCCAAATGAAAATGCGTGCACAATGGTAGTCACGTGTATGTGTCACCCTAGTCGATTTATTTTTGCTGAATTTTTTTTACAAGCAAAAAACGATTGTATGGAGTAAATAGAACACCCGTAGGACAACATAATTTCCTTTTTTCATCTTTTGTGTAAATAAGAATTGACGAAAAGAGCAGTGTTGTGGCGTTGGTGGGTATGCAGATTTTATTTCGGAAGCAGACCATACCCATATATAGATGCACGCACACATGCCTCTCTGTATTGCACAAGCGTGTAAATCGGTAAAAGTGAATGCCCCTACCTTCCGACAATTAGGGACCCTTTTTTTTTATGACCTGGTTGGTAATACTACCAGTGTTACCACGCATGTGAGCATAAGCGTGGGTAGCGGAGAACTTTGCTATTTTTTTCGTTCCTTTTGCAAAATAAAAATAGTTTGATTTTTGCCCTCGTTAAGATGTCACGCATTTGATGCCATTTTTTTTTTCTTTTTTTTTTTTCCATTTCGTCCATTTCGCACAAATTGATCCTCCCCCGTGGAAAAAAAAACGAACACCCCAGAATTGCGCAGTTATAATCGTGCACCCAGTTAGGAATTTAGCAGCATGTTACGTGGATGCCTTGGTAGAGGGGTTCCCTACACATACAAACAGGAATAGTCTGTTTTATCCAATGGTACAATCACATGTGCAGCCATTTCCCGTGTTCAGCCTCCCCTGCGAAAAGAATCCTCTCCTTCTTAACTAGATGAACAATGAGTTTATCATACTTTTTTTCTTTTTTCCACGCAATGGCCAGAAAAACAACCTTGTGGGGAGCACATAAAAGATAAAGCCAGTTGGCTTTGAATACGCTCATATGTAGTACGTATATATGTGGACGTGTGCTGTATGTATACTTATTTACACACATCCTACATGTATTCTTTTCCTTTTCTCCCTTTTTTGTCTCCGCGTCGGTGAAGCGACGATGGGGGGGGGGGATGGGAAAACTGTACATACGATCAGAAAAAAAAAAAAGCATAACGGCAAATCAAATCGGTAAAGCACAAAGGCAAAACAAAACTGCAAGCAGATTCACAAATATAGGCTTATCGCCAGGTGGTGGTATTTTGCAATTTTTTAATTTCCTATAAGAAATTTTACTCATTAGAAAGTTGGCTTGTCCTCTTAGAAGTCAACCACCCCAGGGGGGCTAACAGGTACACTACATAGACAAGCACCTTTTAGCGTACCTATATAAACTTACCTATACATATATGTGCCGGGGTACGTATATGCATTGACTCAAAAGATATAAAATAAGTTCATAAATTTGTACAAAGCGAGAAGTACGTGCCCCTGTACTCCAAACGCGTACACTTCTATATATAATAGTTATATGTACTTGTGCGAAAAAGGGTAGAATTTCTTTTTTTTTTTTTAAACCTAGAATGAACCAAGTTCATCTACAACTAAAATGATGTATTCACTCGTTAGGAACAGAATAAAAAATTAAAAAAAGCGTACAAAGAATAAATTAAAAAAGGAGGCAGTAACGGGTTGGTAATAATAACTATATACTTTTATGACGTGCACAAAATGGTAAATAATGGGTACGCTGAAGAGGCGTCACAATATATTATTATACCTAGTTGGTGAACGAACAATTATTTTTTAAAGATATGCTAATATTGATTTAATTGACCTTAGATGAAAAAAAAAAAAAGAAAAAAATTTCATTGAAATGAATTGAATGAACGAATCGTGGTACACCCCTATCATAAGATCAGTAGAAACAATTGCCATAAAAGAAAACAAAGTGAAAAAACGCAAAAGGAACGCAAAAGAAGGCCAAAGAAAGCGAATGCAAATGAATTGGAATTGCCAATGCGAAAAAGTTTTTTCACTTTTGCATTTTTTGTTTATCCGTATGCGTACATAAAACAAAACAAAATCTTACAAATCATGCAGTCAATTTTTTCCTTTTTTTTGAAAAAAGAATTATTTTAGTAAAGTTCTTTCTTCCAAAAATGTAATTTCTACCAGGGCGACGTGAAATTTTTAGTTATACTTGACGCAGCATAGAAGTACATATTTTACCCCGGCAACGCTGCACTGTTAGTACATCACCATGGTACATGTAATTCGCGTAGTTACATAATTCGTGTAGCCACGAACACCCTCCTCTTCACCAAACCTGCTTCTTCACCACATCCTCCTCTTCACCAAGCCTGCTTCTTCACCACACCCGCCTCTTCACCACACCCGCCTCTTCACCACACCCGAGCATATTTCCATAAATGGTACCGCGCGCACAGTGTCAATTATCAACCTACTATGTGTACATCACCATATATGTAATATACAACAAAAGCTGGAGAGGCGATGAAACTGAAGGAAGTTCCTCTTCGCCCAGTTTTTTATGATTAGAGTGTAGCGAGGTGTGTGTATATGTGTACGTGTTTGCATGGATCAGTGTTCAGGTTTGTACATATCTGTACGGGCATGCACGTATCTGTACTGGGTGTTGATATCACCGCCTTGTGAATGCTTAAATGGCCATCTGCCCAATATGCGTAACAATTAGAACCATTTTTAAACCCCCAATTTTAAAAATTTGACATTTTCTTTTTTTGTGTACTTTTCGAATTTCTAATTATCGCGAGTTTATTTTACAAAGACTAATTCGATTATCCTTTCATGGTACATCGCATTTTATCTCACCTCATCTTGCCAAATTTCACCTTGTTTTATCTCATTTTATTGCATTTCGTTTTTTTTTTCCTCTTTCCATCGTTCTTCGTTTTTCACGAATAATTCAAATAAATCCTTCCCTCGTCTTTCCTGTAAGACGCTGCGGCGACTGCCCAACCTCCGAACACAACTGTAAACGTGCCTACATCCCCACCACTACACACATGCACACCTGTCAGGGTTAAGGAGATCGACGAAGGAATCGCACCTGATTATTTACACTCGTGTGTGTATGCCTAAATTGTTACACCTCCTTCCTCCTTTGCTTACCTGTCCCCTCTGAGTGCTTCCCCCGTACCTTATAGAACATTTCCACGCTGACGGCGCAACCGAAACTATTCTACCCACTTGGAAAAAAAAAAAAAAAAAAAAAAAAAAAAAAAAAAAAAAAAAAAAAAAACTCACGAAACGCCCCTTTTAAATAATGATTAAAGACAACAAGCTAACCATTGAAAACATTAATTACGAGTTAATAAATCAAGTGAATGTAGAAAATGAAGCAAATAAAATTTACGAAATAAAGAAATATGCAGACAAAACTGAGAGCTACTTAAACTCGGATGTAGCATTTGAAAAACCAGCCTATGGGATAAAAAATTTTATGAACAACAGCCATTCGGTTGATTCCTTGGAGAAGGGTGAAATGAGACCAAAGAATGTTCCCTTACAGAAACAAAGTGTTAATTATTTAAATAAAGCTAATGAAGAGACCTTTGACGAAATAAATCAGCGGGGCTCTAGGAGTAGTGGCGCCAGCTTCCATGCAGATATAAACGATGACATTGTGACGTATGTCAATAAAACAAGAAAGGACATGGATTCCAGTAAGGATTATAAGATTGGCACGTGTAACAATTTATCCGGTGTGCACATCCTAAATGATGCGCACATACACGAAAGGGAAGGCGTCTGTGGCGAGGCCCCCTCCAGCAAAGTCAAGTTAGCCACCCTAAACATCAATTCGGGTGCCGACAGTGCTCAGAATGCTGCTTCCAGTATAATCCAGAAGTGCAACCGCGAAGGAAGTCTCGATGGGCGTAACGACGGGAATCGCTCTATCAGCTCCGACCGATCGAATAGGCACTCTGTCGAAAGTATAAACAATCTAATCGACCCTATTGCGGGTAAAAGGATCATCACACCTGGAGGAGCTAAATCATCAAGTATCCATGCCCACAATGAGAACACGCCCCCCGCCATGACTGAACAGATATTTCAACAAAGAAAAAGTGAAAACCCCATGCTGAACATCACCAATACTCATAAGAACGTTAACGTCGACCCTACGCGTACCAAAGAAGAGGCACCAAAGGGAAACCAAGACGTAACTCCAAAAGGGAACAAATTAGAGATTTTTAAAAATTATTCACACTACGAAATTATGAATGTTTTGTGCAGTAACTGGAATAGGGAAATATCTTCAGAGTCTTCTCCATACCCGGGTGGTGTACCCCAAAGTGAGGAAAAAATGAACGATGAGAAAAATCCAAATGAAGAGAACGACTCAGCTAAGGTAAAGGTATCAACGGATGATGATCTGTGCCATCCCTCAATTTACCATTTCCAAATAGCTACCCATTCAGAAAATCCCAACAGCTCAACCAAAAGAAGGGAAGAAATTCTACAGCTACTTCTGCACAACATAGAAACAAAAAACATAGATGACATAGCTAAAAATTTATCATTTTTGAAAAGAATGCAACAATATTTTTATCAGAAATATATTAATATAAAATTCCCAAATGACTCCAATGACTACCACTATTATATACACCTGGATTGGTTTAACAAATTGAAGGCCTTTATCTTCACTCCAAATGGGAAATTCCCAGGCTGCATCACAAACTATAAATTATATAACGACGAGAAGTCAGCCAAGGAGTCAGCCAGCGAGTCGATCAGTCCCTATATGCTGAACAAAAAAGACATGAAAAGTAATTTGAAGGAAGGGAAAGATTATATATGCACCAATCAGTACATGTGGCGATTTTTACACTTCCTATTCAGAGGCGGGCCCTGTATTAAACGAAATAGCAACAATATATATGACCATTATGTGCCCATTTCAAATTCTGATCTTATGAATAAAAATATTATCTATTTGATGGAGCCGAAATACGTGGATAATTTATTTTCCACTTTCAACTATTCGAACGAGGAGCTGTGGAGCGGGACTACCCATTCGAGAAACAGTTTAGAGGAAGCGCATAAGTCGCTTGCGGGTGGAGTGTCACCAAGTGCTCTTTCCTCTCCGTGTTCCACGATCACTGCTCAGACCGCTTCCGCCAGCGAAGCGGCTAGAGAGCATCGCACCAAAAAGTGCGCACACAACTATTACGAGTTCTTGCACTTTTACGGGCTCAAGGAAAAGGAATATAACTCTTGCTTTTTTCTCGAGTATGATCAATCCCATCCCAGAAGTATGAACAAAATCATCGATTTGAAAAGTAAACATTCGTATGAAAGTTTGTACTCATTTTACTCAAATGACACCTTCAGCGACAGTGACATTGTACACAATGCCCATGGCGCCAGTAGAAAAAATGACCTCAGTGAATTATCCAAAAAGGAGACCCCTTCAGAGAAGGAAAAAAATGGTAGTAATTCCAGTGCGACTTCTGGTCCGAATCAGACGGAGGCCACATCTCTGGAAAACATCGACATGGGCCGCGGCGTGTTGTCGCCTACACACCTCTCAAGGAGCATGAGTGAAAACGTAAAGAACGACTCTCTGGGTAATAACGGCGGTAGTAGTAATGGAAACGGCTGTAGTAGCAACGGAAACGACGGCATTAGTAACGGAAACGGTGGCAGTAGTAATGGAAACGGTGGCACTAGTAACGGAAATGGCGGCAACAACAACGGCAACAGTAATAACAGTAATAATAACAGCAATAATAGTAATAATAACAAAAACAACAATAATAATAATAACAATAACACTGATAACAATAATAATAATCAAAAAAACGCGCAGGAGGACGACCCGCAGGAGGACCCAAAGAAGCGCCAAGAGGAAAACCAGGAAAATGCGAAGGAAGCGACCCCCAGCAGAGGTGTGAAGAAAGAGAAGCAGTCCGCCAACGCCACCTTCTCCTTCGGCCCCAAGGCGATCATCACCACTCCCAACATTTTAAGCGGCAACTCTACCTACAAAAAAAGCAACGCAAGTAAAGACAGCACTAATAAAAGTGGAAACCAAACTGATAATCGGCCTAACAGTTCTAGCAAAGTGCTTTTAAATCCGCCTCCAAAAAAGAACTCCTTAGATTACCATTCGTCAAACGGAAACGAAATTTACAAGTCCTGCGAAGAGTACAATGCTGACAATGGCGAGGAGGCATCCAGCAATGGCTACTTAACAACCACCGAGACGGAATCGAAGGGAACAACGGACAACAGCGTTAAAAGTGCAACCAGTTCACTGAAAGATAAAGATGAGCTAGAAAAGGATGACCACAAAATGAAGAAACAGGAGGATGCAGAAAAGGGAACCATTTGTAAAGATGAAAATAAACAGAGGATGGGCAACAGTTGTAGTGATACCAGTAATGGCAGTAGCAACAGCAGCGACAGGAACAGTGCCAGTGGTGCTATCCCAAAAAAGGCCTCCACGAAAAAGAAGGATGCCACTGCCCATGATAAAAGGGATAAAAGGAAAGAAGAATACGAAAAGAATTTTAATACAAACAAAAAGCCAATCGGTGCTGGTGGCAACAAGCTCCTAAACAGGTTAAATAGTACGTTAAACACCGCCAATTTAATGGTAAAAGCCCGTAGTAGCTATTCCAGCAGCAGCTATCGTGGAAGTAGCAGCGGGAGTAGCATCGAAAGTAGCAATGACAACAGCAGCAACGGTAGCAGCAATTTTAGCATTCGAAATTATGACGTTTCGAATCGGAGTATGTACAAGGATAACGAACGAATGGAGAATATGATGGTACCCAGTAACCCCAAGAGAGAAAGTGAATTCAACAATAACAGCATTAGCATCATAACCACGAAAGAACACCCAGCAGGACTTATTAACTACTCTGCGACGTGTTACATCAACGTAGTTCTGCAGTGTTTATCCATTAACCTCAAATTAATATATACCCTACAAAATTACGTAACTGTGAAATATAAAAGTATGAACTTTTCTAGTGAAGACACAGACAATATGAACTCATCATTTATAAACAAAAATTTCTTCACCAATACTATCCCATTTAACCTCTTTGGAAATAATAATAAAAAAAAAGATGAATGTCTCTTGCTAGCTTTATCACATAAATTATTTCAACTAAGTAAAATGCACAATAAGGGAAAATCTCTCAATGTTAGTAAGTTCCTAAATTTACTAAATGATAAATATCCGTACCTCTTTGAATATAATGAACAACAGGATTGCCATGAATTTCTTCTTCTCGTTTTTGATTTTATTCACAATATGATGAAGGTCGTTGACGAAACCGTTGACAAAGATAACAAAATTGATTACTGCTTGAAGAAAGAACAGTCCATTATCTCAGATTTATTTTTAGGTTTAATTGAAGAGAAAATTACGTGTTCTCAATGTAGCTATGTAAACTATGTGTACCAGCCTGTGTACAACTTAAGTGTTAATGTCTTCAAAAAAAATGCAGAAAATAATTTAAATGATAATTTGGTGGAATACTTTAAAAAAGAGGAAGTAAATTCTACATGCGAAAAATGTAAATGCAAAAAGATGTTTAAACATTCCTGTGTGTATAAGCAGCCGAATATTCTTATCGTTCATTTAATTCGTTTCCTGGAGGATGGGTCCAAAATCGACAACCCCATAAAATTCGACGTGAACGACTTTACCGTACAAAACGTTTTGAAGAAAAAGAATGGGCAGTACATTGAGAACCCGAAGAAGTACAGCTTATATGGCGTTATAGTTCATCGCGGGTTGAACTCCAACTACGGCCATTACATCTGCTACACCAAGAGGAGACATTCCAATGGCGCCACCGTGGTATGATTGCGGGGTCAAACGCATGCCAAGAAGTGTGCGTAGAGGCGCCGTCTACCTATGTCCGTAGACACATATGTACACACATATGTGCACATGTCCAATCATGCGTGCCCCCACGGAGCAATCGGCCAACCGAATTTTCCCCGTTTTTTCAACCCCCTCCCCCCCCCGCTTTTTTTTTCAGTGGTACAAGTTCGATGACAGCATAGTGACCGTCGTGGATGTTTCGGAAGTGGAGTCTGCCAAAGCCTATTGTCTGTTCTACGAAGCCGTTAATTAAATGGAGTGAAGGGATAACCCTTTCCTCCTTTAAAAAAATTTCGTCTCCCCAATGAGTGTTCCTCGGTTTTTATGCTATCTATATTGTTGTGTTTCTTTTTTTATAGTCCTATGGTTAGTCGGCTCCGTTGCTACGAAGCAGTGGAGCCACGCCTCAGCAGCGCAGTTCCACTGCCGGTTTAGCGTTTTAATGCCCCCCCAAAACACACCTCCCACCGCGTCGTTTTATTTAATTTTTTCCCCCTTTTTCGGTTTATAAAACGCACAGTTATTTTCCGTGCCCCCCCCACCTGTCTTATGCCGCCTTTTAAACCCCTTCATTTTTAATTGACATTTCAACGTATTTCACTCGAACCGCATGTTCAACTTTTTTTTTTATGACTTTATTTGAATCCTTTCCTTAATAACCATTTTCGATAACCCATCATGGGTTGTGTGTGTACAAAAAGAGGGTGGGGATTGTGCCAAAAATGAAGTACTGAAAAAGTGTTCTTCTAAAAATGGAAACTTTGTTGTAGACTTTAAAAAAAAAAATATATGAAAAAGAGGGACACGTCGCTGAGGAAAAAAAAAATGCACTAGCGCATTTTGATAAAAATATCGCAAAGCGAGACCACGCGGTGGAGCAGAGCACAATATTGTGGCTCTTTACTATCCCGCTGCAATGCCTAACTTGAAAAAATAAGGGGAAAGATAACTTGCTCTTTGGGCAAAAACCATTTTCATTAATATATGCACGTTAAAAAAATATGCACGCGCGAAAGAAATGCACAAAGTGGTACGCCTTCTTGTTTGGAATAACTTGGAAAAAATAACTTCACTGATATGAAGAAAAGGGGGGTGATTTGTAAAAATAAAAAAAAAGTTCACGATCTGCTTGAGAGGGGTGTGTATGGGCACATCACCCTTTTTCTCGTTTCTCCATTTTGATTAACCCCTGCCAGCTCAATAAATCAACTTCTCATTCACGTTCTCGTTGAAGCTCTCGTTAATGTTTCCCATGTTCATGTTTTCTTCATTCATGTCGTTTTCTTCATCCTCGTCGTCGCCTTTTTTCGCCTTCACATTCACCTTTATGAGGTCTCTAAATATTTTGGAGAACTTAAAATGCGGCATGTGGCTACTTTCTATATGAATGTCTTCCTTTGTCCGCATATTTTTAATGCATCTTTTTTTTCTAAAAATGTTGTAATACATTCCAAATTTGTGAATATAAATTTTTTCGTTATTTTCCAGGTGTTTGTATATGTTGTCAAATATTCCGTTCATAATTTTCTCCACTGTCTTTTTGCTTTCCTTCGTTTCCATGGAGACTTCCTCAATTATCTGCTTCTTCGTAATGGCCTGCAGAAGAGGGGGGGAGAGAGAGACAAAGGAAGAAATGTGCAACGGAAATAAAGAACAGGAGAACAAAAGAGTACATACTAAAAGGGGGGAAAAACATGCGTTAAAAAGGGGCACAACACGGTCGAGACAAATAAAACAGAAAAGGGTGTAGTAAAAGCTACTGCACATCGTAGAAAAAAACGGATTAACGGTACAGCAATTACACAGAAAGGCGACGAAATGGACTGGAGCGCCATCGCGCCGTGCCCACGAGTGACGCTGGAACCCCATAAGAGTGCTCCTTTTCATTTTAACCTGCGAAATGGGAACCTTGGAGGAGCTCTGGTATAGCGCATTCTTGTTGTACGTGTTATTGACCCCCAGTTTGTTGTTAATAATATTATTCTTGTGGACATTAATGAAGGCTCGGCGTGAATAAGCAAACTCAAAGGTGAAGAAGAGCAAACACCATATTATGTACATTTTTTCTGAACAGCCGTTTTGAAATCTTATACCTTACTGTGCTGACCAAGGGCGCACCTGGGCAGGCACATAGATACACACATATATGTGTATGTACGTACAAATATATACATATACAAGCACATATGTACATGCGTGTATACCACTGTGCTTATATACCTCTGTGCATATATACCCCCCTGTGTACGTTTATAATTCTATGCTTCGATATGAACGTACATATGCATAATGTTTCTTACGAACTCATTATAGTGGTAACTATTTGGGGGAAAAAAACATTCATGTGAAACTGCAGCGCACGTTCTCGTAAAGTTCTTTACTCTTCAATCTTGTTAATGAATACGTTTGGGGATGTGTTTACTCAAAAAGTATGGGCAGAACGGCACATTATTGTATATATGTAAAATGTACGGAAAAAATCCCTATTTATTCAGAAGGTACATACAAAAAGCGCACATCCAAAATGTACTTTTAAAAAAAAGGATTAAACTGCATAGGGGTTTGCAAATTCCTGGATCGACCGTGAGGACTTTTACAAGCTTAAGAAGCGTTAACAATAAAATCTTTTGCTTTATTCACGCTCTGTGTATTCTTATTTTCACAAGGGAAAAAATTGGAGAAGATAAAAAAAAATACCGATTTTACTTCTGACTTTAGTTTCGGTTCACTTGTTTCATATGCCTTCATTTTTTATATTTTTGTTCCTAGAAATGGCGAGCGTGTTTTTTGTATTCTCTTTTTTTCCCCGTTTTTGTGCCACAAATAGTTACACAACGAAAAGTGTTTCAAGTGGGGCACGTCAAAACGGGCCCTTTGCGCCCCGTTACGTATGAACGCAGCTTTGCTCAGTTTTACGGAGTTTTGTTTTTTCGTCCATGCATATATCCCTGCGTTTGCTACTTGGTGAAACTGCTGTAGTGGGGAAGAGGATTTTTCTTTATTATTATTTTTTTGTTTTGTTTAATTCCCCCCCGTGGGGCAAAGGAATGCTTTAATAGGAACGCAAAAAGCTTTCTCCTCCATTTTGGCACATATTTTATCGCAGCGCAAAGGAAATAATGATGAAATGGTTATTTTCTCAGTTGCGCAGTTTCCCGCACAGATTACAAGAAAGCACAAACCAGTGCCAAGAATGGTCCTATTTTTAACGCTTCGTTTTTTAATTACATCCGGTGTGGCAATGCACACTGCGTGTGTTAAACGTGCGCTACCTTTTCACCGTTAGGGGGTCTTATTCGACACAAATTTACAGCCATATATTACCCCTTTTTTTATTTAAAAAGGAAGAAAAACTGGCCTTCACACTGGCATTTCTCGCAGCCTCTTGTGGCGCAAAGAGGACGTTTATTTTGGCCGCTTCAACTGTAAGGGCCACCAAGTCGTCCGCAGCAATGGCCGCATAATAGCAACACACAATTGCAGTTAGAAGCTTACGTCTCTTCACACTGCTCTTTTTATGCGCAAAACATTGGTAGGGTATCGCCATAACATTTTCCTATTCGTAATTGTAACACTTATGCACATTTTACAAACTTTTCTAGTCAAAACATTTAAGTGAACATCAGAATGGTATTGGCAATTTTGTGCAAACATTCATATTTTTAACAAAATATCCCTTTCGAATGTTACGGAGAAATGCAAAATTTACCTTTTTAATGTAATACACCTCGTGTAGTTTTGCAGAAACTAGGGGATATTATTTTCTTTCTTAAACTGAGAAGTGAGCAACTTCGCTAATAAGGGGCATAGTTTCTCTTAATTATGTTGGTTGGACACAGGGAAGTAGCATGCGGTAATTTTTCTGTCTACCAGTTCATAGGTCGCATTTTTTGTAACCTTACATCGGTGAGGTACACCCCCGGGAGGGCTCTTCCGAACCCGTGGCATGGATATTGTTTACGTACATGTAAAGATACATATGTACCTGTGCCCGTGCGCGCGTTCGCTCTGGCGGACGATGCACACTTCGCAAAACGTGACACCTCGTGCAGTGCTTCCCCATGTTGTCTTTTTTAAAAACACTTTTTGTGTCCCCGAAAATTGTCTTTTTTCGCGCCCCATTTGTTCGTTTTCCATGGTATGGTCCAATTAGCACACAAAAAGCATAACTGCAGAAGGAAAAGTACCCCGCGTTATGCCGTAGGATCCGTTTTTATTTACCCCTTTGTTAAAAGAACCTTACTGTAGGTAACCTTGATCCGTGCAGCATAACATTGTAGTATTCGCGCATGAAAAAATATTAACCACGTTTACAAGCCCCCCCAAAGCCGCTCACGTTGCGCCATCTTCTATTTTCTCCACCATTTCACGAATGTATCATTGGTAAATTACTTTACTCACACGCTGATTAGTATTGATATTATACTTATAATTATCATTCGTTACACACATTTTTCTCGCACACTTTTTTTTTTTTTTTTCTTTTAACCCCTATTTTTTTTGCATAGTTTTGATTTCGAAAGTTCTGTTTACTCATCGTTTACGTGAAAAATTTTAAAAGAAGGTCTGTGTCTAAACCTTTTCATATTGACAAAAAAAAAAGAGGTAAATATAAAGAATATATAAACTGAAGGAAAGAAGATACAATTTAGCAAATTCTTATGACCCTATTTGATAACGGAAAACGTAGATGTAATGCTAGAAAAAATGGCTATAAAGCTTCGATAATAAAAAAGGAAAGCTGTATCGTCAATCGTCATGCAATCCACAAAAATTTTCCCAGCAGTAGTTATACTTTTTTGGCAAAAAAAAAATTTTTAAACGATATGTAGCACAATGAACAAGAGCATGTAAAAGGCAAAAGGAAAAGGGCAAAAAGCTGTTTTCTTTTTTCTCCTTTTTTTTTTTTTTTTACGTTAATGTTTTTTTTTTCAATTCAGTCGAATAACTATATATTAAGCACACGTCTTTTTTTTAGTTAATCCTTTAGTATCTTTCCTTACAGGTATGTATTATTGCATTCTCTTTGGGGGCATTCTTCATCACATATACTTTACCGTGCACTTTACCGCCCATTTTGCTGCCCATTCTCCCCCCTTTCCCAGCACATCATAAGCTAAAAACATACCAACACATAACAGAAAAGAAAAGAAAAACAGAGGAGAGAACCCCACGTACATAAACACATATGCGCATGAGTCAGCCTTATTACGAAATTTACGAATGTATAAAAATTCACTTTTCCTGTTTTAA